TGTGCAGACACCCACAGGAACATCACAAAAATAGTGTTTTCTAGCAACTGGCTGCAGTTTTGCCTCTTGCATGGAGCCCTTTGGCAGCGTGAAAATTCTGGTGCTTCTTCTGCATTTGCAATGGAAGTCAAGAGTTTTCCAAGGCTCCAGTGGGTGTCTGCCAGTGGACAGAAGCAGTCCTGGGTGGAGCCTGGACTCAGTCTGGGTTCCGCAGTGGCAGGATGAACCCAGGCCTATACTGGGCCCCGGCTCCATTGCAGATTGGCAAGGCAGATCTAGGTGAAGCCTCAGCTCCGGCAGCGGTTGGCAGGAGGTGGGATGGACCTGTGGCTATCCTGTACCTGGGCTTCAGCCACAGGTCGTCCTGGCAATCTGGAAGGGATCTGAGCTCCAGAGGGTGGCGGGTAGAACCTGGACCTAACCTGGGGCCCGGCTCATGGTCAGAGCTTCAGTTGCAGCAGGGGTCAGCCGGTGGCGGCATGGAAGCGGTATACCTGGGCACAGTTGCCAGGCAGGTAGGTAAGGTGGTCCTGAGCCGAGCCTAAGCTACAGTGGCAATCTGGCGGGATAGGATGAACTCTGACCTACCCTGTGCCCAGGCTCCTGTGCCCTTCTGGCAAAGTGAATCTGGGCACAGTCTCCACTCTGGCAGGGGTCAGCCGGTGGCTGGATGTTCCAAGGTCTACCCTGGGTGAGGACTCCCGCACAGGTGGAAGAGGCTGATCAGGGCAGAACCCGAGCTCTGGCGGATGTCAGCCAGTGGTGGGATGGACCCGGGCTTATTCTGAGTTCGGGCTCATGGTGCAGATCAGCAGGGCAGATCAGGCCTGGGCCTGACCTCCACAGGTTTCTGTGGTTGGCGGGATGGAACTTGGCTTACTCTTGCCCAGGCTCCCTCACAGCTGGCCTTGGCTATCAGGCATGAACCTCAGCTCCGGAAGGTGTTAGCCTGTGGGCAGAGGCATTCCTGTGTCTAGCCTGAGTTCTGATGGGTGTCGGCCGGTGGCTGGATAGAGCCAGGGCTATCTTGGGCCAGGCTCCCATGCTTGTCAGGGAGGCTGACCTGGGTTGGGGCTGAATTCTGGCAGGTGTCTTCCAGTAGGCGGAGTCAGTGAGGGACTGAACCTGAGCTCTGGCTGGCATTTGACAGTGCGGGGGAGTCATTCCTGGGCTGAGTCTGAGCTCCAGCAGGGGTCAGCCTGAGGCTGGATGGCCCTGTGACTACCCTCTTCCAGGGATGCTGCCTCACGTCCTTGTGGGAGATCTGGGCTGATCCTGAGCTCCCAAGGATGTTTACTGATTAGTGGAAGCAGTCCTTGGCTGAGCCCAAGGATATAAGGGGCATCAGGGGGTGCTGGGTAGAAACTGGGCCTTCCCTAGGGCCCAGCTCCTCTGCAGAGCTTGAGTTTCAGTGGAGGTCTGCAAGTGGTGGAATGGCCCTGGGCCTACTGGGCTTCAGGTCCTGCATAGGTTGTTGAGGAGCACCTGGACTGTGTATGAGCTCTGAATGTTGTCTACCTAGGACAGAGGCAATCCTGGGCAGATGCTAAGCTCCAGCCAGTGTATGGTGGTGGCGAGATGAACTCAGCCTAACCTGTGCCAAGGCTCCCCTGCAAATCTGCATGATGGATCTTGAGGGAAACTGAGCTCCTGCTAGGTTTTGTGGGTTGTGGGAAAGATCAGGGCTTACCCTGTGCTCCCGCCACTGCTCAGGTCATCGAAGCTGATCTGGGCCAGTAGTAAGCCCTGGTGGGTGTCTTTCTGTGGCCAGAGCATATCCTGGGCCATGCCTGAGTTCTGGCAGGAGTTTCAGGGGGCACAGGCAGTCCTGAGCTCCAGTGGGGTTGGGGGGTGTGCACAGGTTGTCCGGACTGAACCTGAGCTCTGGTGAGGGTCTCAAAGGCTTTATGGACCCTGGGATACCCTGTACCCTGGCTCCCAGGCATGTTGGCAATGTAGATCTAGGTGGAACCTGAGATCGGATTGGGGTCAGCTGGTGGAGGGTTGGACCCTGGGTTACCCTGGGTACCATCTCCTGTGCAGGTCGGTAAGGTGGACCTATGTGAGACCTATGGGCTATAATCTTCCTAGAAAAAACAGGAGGAAAAATCCTTCATTGTGAGTCATTCACATTAATCTTGGCAAGGATTTCTTTATTTACCTTTTCTTCCTTCCTTCCTTCCTTCCTTCCTTCCTTCCTTCCTTCCTTCCTTCCTTCTTTCTTTCTTTCTTTCTTTCTTTCTTTCTTTCTTTCTTGACACAACATCAACAGCACAGACAACAAAAGCAAGAATAGATAATGGACAACATCTGCCCATAGTGCAGAAGGGGACAAACATCAGGGCAGGAAACAACCTGTAGATGGGAGGAAACAGTTAAATCGGTTAATTTACAAAATATATAAGAATGTCCTAGAGTTTAATCGCAAAAATGTTACCAATCCAATGAATCTATGGGCTAAGAGCTGGGAGAGACATCTCTGGAAGGAGGCCTGTCTTTTTATGAGTGTAAGCAACCCCCAGGAAAGGCATGGGTGTGAGTAGAGAAATGATGCCCAGTGACTTTCCCTAGGGACTTGAGGTCTGATCCCCAGCTGGTGGGGCCTCTATTACAATGATCAATTTCATGGTAAAATTTAAAATTTTCAACAATAATATACATAAGTTATTTGAGTTGGAATTCTTGGGTTAAAAGAAAGTGTGCACTTCAAATTTTGGTATATATTCTAAAACTTCTCTGAAAAAGGGTTATGATAACTTTTCATTGCAATTATCAGAGCATGACAATTCCATTTTCCAACACTTTCAACATTAGGTTTTCTCATTCTCTTTATTCTTTTTATGTGATATGCACACACACAAATGTACTTTATGAATTCTTCGGATTACTATATTGACATAAAATGCCATCTCAAGTGCATTGACATAAAATGCCAAGATGGCATTTTATGTCAATATAGTAATCCAAAGTCATATTTTATAAACAGCCTACATTTGTCTTTTCCCATTTTTATTAGGCTGATTCTTTTTCTTGAATTTAGGGAGCTCGGTATATGATTAACTTCTGGTGAGCTGTTCAGAAACTCAAAGGAATGTCACCAAAATACTGTTTTCTGTTTTCTACCAATTGGCAACAGTTTTGCCTCATGTAGAGAGCCCTTTGCCAGCTTGGGAATTCTGGTTTTATTTCCAAATTTCAGACGTGAAATCAAATTTTTCAGAGATGGTATTCTGGTGATTATTATTGATATTGGTGAAAGTCAGGGAAGAAATTTTCAATATTTTACAATCATGTTTTATTTTTACATGGATAACATTTGGGCCACCCAAATCAGGCTTAGGTATTATAAGTAAGTCCCTTGCATTGAAGAATAGAGTCAATCCATGAAGTCCTACTGAAAGTAAATGCAAATAAAATCAAGAATATGAATAAGCTAGTTTTCTTTCTTTCTTTCTTTCTTTCTTTCTTTCTTTCTTTCTTTCTTTCTTTCTTTCTTTCTTCCTTCCTTCCTTCCTTCCTTCCTTTATTTATTCTTTTGTCTATTTATTTATTCATGAGCTCCTGGGGGGTTTCAACTGGTGAGATGGACTCATACCTAATTAGGGTCCCAGCACCCATGCAGATCTGTGAGGAGGATCTGACCAGACCTGAGCTCCATTGAGAGTCTGCTGATGGATACATACAGTCCTGAGCCTTTCCTGAGCTCCAGAAGTGTCTGCCGGTGGACTGAGGCAGTCCTGGGTTGAGCCTCAAATCTGGTAAGGGTCTGCTGGTGGCTTGATGGACTCAGGCTTACCCTAGGTAAGGACTCCCACACAGTTGGAATAGGCTGATCTGGGCAGAGCCCAAGCTCCAGAAGAGGTCAGCCAGTGGCAGGATGGTCCTGGGCTTACCCTGAGCATCAGCTCAGGAGAGTTTGGCCAGGTGGATAAGATCTGGGTGTAAGCTCCCTAAGTGGTTGGCTGGTGGCAGAATGGACCTGTGGCTATTCTGTGCCCAGGCTTCCATTGCAGGTCGTTCTGGCAGATCTGAGGCAATCCTGAATTCTCAAAGATGTCTGGTGATGAGCAGAGGCAGTCAGGCTCCCTCCATGACTGACACCGCCCACTGACAGACAGTCACTGAAGTTCAGCCTCAGTCCAGATCAGCCTTGCTGACAGGCTCAGGAGCCTGGTCCAAGGCAGGCCTGGGACCAACTGCCACAAGAAGGCCCCTAGCAGAGCTCAGGCCAGAAACAGGGCAGTCTCTGCCCAAAGGCCGACCCCTGCCTGAGCTTAACTGTGACCCCATCCACTTCGCTGAGCAGAGCCTAAGAACCACAGACATCAGGTGGTGGCACATAGAACCAGGGCCTTCCCTAGGGCCCAACTCCTGGGCAGAACTTGAGCTCCAGTGGAGGTATGCAGGTGGTGGGATGGAACCAGTCCTACCCTTGCCAGGGTTCCCATGCAAGCCGGCAAGGCAATCCTGAGCCAAGCCTAAGCTCTGCCTGCTATCTATCAGTAGTGGGATGAATTCAGGCCTACTACCCTGGAACTAGACTCCCACAGGTGTACTAGGATAATCTGGGCTGAGCCTGAGCTCCAGCAGATGTCAGCAAGTGAGCAGAGTCAGTCCTGGCCTGGGCCTGAGCTCCAGTGGGAATCTGACCATAGATAGAGGTGGTATCGGGTCTGACACTGGCGTGATGGAACTGTGCCTACCCATCCCCAGGCTCCCACACAGGTGGACTAGGCTGATCTGAGAAGACCCTGAGCTCCAGAAGGTGTCTGCTTGTTAGGCGAGGTTGTACTGTGTGTGGCCTGAGCTCCGTTAGGGGCCTGCTTGTGGCAGTTGGTCCTAGGCCTACCTTGGGCCAGGCTCCCACACCTGTCAGCACTGCTGATCTGGGCTGAGGCTGAACTTCAGTGACTGTCAGTGGGCAGAGTCACTCATAGGCGAAGCCCGAGCTTTGGTGCCAGTCTCATGGTGACTGGATTGACTTGGGCTACCCTGGGCTCGGCGGGCTTCGTCTCCTGCCAGGTCACCAAGTTGGATCTGGGCAGAGCTGGAACTCTGGTGGGGTTCTACAGTTGGTGGGATGGAACCGGGCCTCCCCTTGCCCAGGCTCCCGTGAAGGTCAGCTAGGCCAATCTTGGCCATGTTTGAGCTCAGCCTGTGGGCGGAGGCGGTCCTGTGTCTGGCCTGAGCGCTGCTGTTGTGGCAGTTGGTCTAGGCCTACCTTGGACCAGGCTCCTGTGCCTCTGAGCGAGGCCAATCTGGACTGGGGCTGAACTTTGGTGGCTGTCTTTCCTTGGCAGAGCCTGAGCTCAGGTGCCAGTTTGAAGGTGACTGGATGGATATGGACTACCCTGGGCTCAGGTTTCCTCCTGCCAGGTCGTCAGGTTGGATCTGGGCAGAGCTGGAGCTCTAGTGGGGTTCTGCACGTGGCAGGATGACACTGGGCCTCTCCTTGCCTGGGCTCCCAAGCAGGTTAGCGAGGCCAATCTTGGCCGAGTTTGAGCCCTGCCTATTGAATGGAGGTGGTCTTGTGTCTGGCCTGAACTCTGCTTGGGGCCTGCTTGTGGCAGTTATTATCAGACCTACTTGGGACAGGCTCCCGTACCTGTCAGTGAGTCTGACCTGGGCTGGGGCTGATGTTCTGCAATTATCTGTCAGTGGGTGGAGTCGGTAGTGGGCAGAGCCTGAATTCGGATGCCTGTCTCTTGATTACTGGAAGGATATGGGCTACCCTGGACTCGGGTTTCTTCCTGCCAGGTCTTCGAGTTGGATCTGGGCAGAGCTGGAGCTCTGGTGGGGTTCTGCAAGTGGCTGGATAGAACAGGGCCTCCCCTTGCCTGGGCTCCTGTGCAGGGTAGTGAGGCCGATCTGGGCCTTGTATGAGCTCTGGCAGGTTCTGCTTGTGGCAGAGTTGTCCTGGGCCGAGACTGAGCTCAGGTGGTGGTCTGGTGGTGGCCATATGTTCCCAGGGCTACCCTCTTCCCAGGCTCCTGTGCACATCTGCAAGGCTTATCTGGTGGGAGCCTGAGATACAAAGGGGGGGTGGAGGGTCTGCTGGTGGTGGGAAGCACCAGGGCCTATTCTGGGCTTCCGCTACCACTCAGGTCGTCGAGGCTGAAATGGGCTGGGATTGGTCACCAGCGAGTGTCAGTTGGTGGGAAGTCTGTCCTGGTCCAATCCTGAGCTCTGGAGGGAGCTGCTGGAGGGTGGAGGCAGTTCTGGGCAGAACCTGAGCTCTGGCAGGAGTCTCACGATGAGTTGATGGACTAGGGCTATTCTGGGCCCCGTCTCCTGTGCAGGTCCTTTGGGTGGCTCTGGACTGGATCTGAGCTCCTGCAGTAGTCTGCTAGTGGGCAGAAGCAGTCCTTGCCCAAGTCTCAGCTCCAGGGAGGGTCGGCCAGTGTTGAGATGGTCCCGGACCTATCCTTTCCTGAGCTCAGTGCAGGTTCTGGAGGCTGATCTGGGCAGAGCCTGAGGTCCAGCGGGTGTCTGCTGGTGTGCGGAAGTAGTCCTGGGCCAGACCTGAGCTTGCTGCAGGTGTCCTGGTTTAGGGATGGACACAGGCCTACCCTGTGTCTGGCCTCCCACCCAGGTCGGCAGGGGCAGATCTGGACTGTACATGAGCTCTGGCTGGTGTCTGCAGGTGAGTTGAAGCCATCCTGGGCTGGGCCTGAGCATCCCACTGGTGGCGGGATGAAACCAGGCTACACTGGGCCACAGCTCTAGTGCATCTGGGAAGGGCCTGAGCTCAGGCGGGTATCTCTGGACCTTTATTTTATTCATTTGTTTTAGGTGGTACTGAGAATCAAAGCCAGTGCCTCACATGTGGGAGACAAGAGTTCTATCACTGAGTCACAACCCCAGCCCTATTTGCTTCTTGTTGACCTTTAATCATACCATCTTTTGGTTCTATATCGTTTGTTCATGCATGCATTTGAATTTTAACAAGTAGCTATTATGTGATATCACCTGCAATGCTTCTCAAGCTGGCCCCAAATGAGACCTTGATCCTCAGCAGGATTACATCCCACACATCCATGTCACCTCTGGCATAGGTGCAGAAGAGAGATATTTAAGACATCGTCCTTGACTCTCAACTTTTGGGACAAATTGTTTTGAAGAGGTAAAGGATAAGTGGTCATAAGAGATCCTGCAGAACGCAGAGCAGGTATGGTTTTGAATGAATACGGATTTATGTATTGATAAAGTTTGTTTATTTCCTTTTTGCTGTCGTTCATGTATCTGTAATTTGTTTTTCCTTTTTCTTTTTGGAATGGGGATCAAACCCATGGCTTTGGGAATGTGAGGCAAGTGCTTTACAGCTTTACCATTGAGCCACTTCCCACCCCCTTCATTCATTGTCAGCGTGGGAATTCGGGGCTGTTTTTATGAATGAATCTACTATGAATGTTAAAAAGAGACTGACCAATGGCGTTCGTGTGTGTCCAACCCAATTATCATAACTTTGGGCCAATAGCATTGGTACTTCTTTCAAGTCCTAATTAGCATAAGTTTGGACCAATAGCATTGGACCAAGTGCTATATAAACCCCTTGGAGGCTGCTCTGACGAGGAGAAGCTGCCAAGGTCCTGAAGGTTCCTGAGCTGGAGTTCGCTGGAGTTTCTGGAGTTTCACCGGAGTTTCGTCTGAGTTCAGCTGGACTTCCGCCGAGTTCCACCGACATTCCAGCCTGCTTTGGTTCCCGGAGATGATTCTTTGACGAAAGAGACTGCAGAAAGACGAAGAAATGGTTGAGGATCTGCTGAGGTATGCTGCAACGCTAGTTGGAATGGCCCGCCACGATGAGCTAGGACTCCTCTGCTGCAGAGGGCTCCCCGCCCCGTGCTGGCAGTCTCCTACCTGCCAGTAGAAGCCATGGAGGTTGATCTTAAAACTCCGGTTTCAAAGGTATTGTTATATGTTAGATAATTAGCGTCTAAATATTGAAATTTGTTAATTTTAATTTCTAGTAGTGAAAATTATGAGATTCATAAAGAATAGAAAATTATTTCCCATAGTTCTGGAGGTCAGAAGCGGGAAAAGTCTGTCTCAATAGTTGTGTCATCATTTGGCAGAAAAGTGGGAGAGACTAAACCCATTCTTGAAAGCTTTTTTTTTTCCCCCATTCATTTTAAGTTGATTTCCGTGCTATAGAAATGTTTAAAGGAACCTAGGAAATGTTTAATTTCATTAATTTTCATTTATTGGTTGCTTTAGTTATAAAATCCGTTTTTTAAAAATTTTTAAAGTTATTAATGGACCATTTATTTCATTTTATTTATATGCACTACTGAGAATTAAACCCAGTGCCTCACACATGCTAGGCAATTGCTCTATTACTGAGCCAAAACCCTGGCCCATAAAATTCATTTTGATACAGTCCATATTTGTATAATTGTACCTTATCTCTTTAGAGTTGCATTCTTAGGCTATCTATGGTGGTGGGATTCACTGTGTTGTTTCCATGTATATACATGGGAAAGCTGCGTTAGAGTCTTTCCACTAACTTTCCTTTGCTTATGCCCCCTCCTTTCCCTCCATTCCCCATTGTCTAACCTACTGCACTTCTGTTCCCATCACCCCTCCTGTTGTGGGTTCGCTTCCACATATGAGATAAAACATTTGTCTTTGTTTTTTGAAAACTGGCTTAGCTTCAGTTATCAGGATTGTCTCTAGGTGGATCCATTTATGGGCAGATATTGTAGTCATATTGTTTTTCTTGCAAATTGGTATGTTTTCTTTAATCTACTTATAAAAAAAACTTGTTCTAATTCTACATGACCATAGAACGCACTTTGACATATCATACATAAATGTAATATGATTTCTCATGCTTCTGGTTGTGCAGAACGTAGCATCACACCAGTCATGTAATTGTATATTACTTTGGATGATTATGTGTGATTCATTCTACTATCCATTTTACTCATTATACTCCTTCCCCTCTCTTCATTCCTCTATTCAATCTAAAGCAAATGTATTCTTCCATACCCAACCCCCGCCCCCTTACTGTGATTAGCATAAGCATATCAGAAAACACTTTCAACCTTTGTTTTTTGGGGATTGGCTTATCAGAATGATAAGCTCCATCCATTTACCAGCAAATGCCATAATTTCATTCTTCTTTAAGGCTGACTTGTATTCTATCATATATATATGTATGTGTGTAAAATTTTTTTTGTGTGTATGTATATGTGTGTGTATATACACACACACATATGTGTGTGTGTGTGTGTATATATATATATATATATATATATATATATATATATACACTCATACACACCACATTTCATTTTCTTTATCCATTTATCTGTTGAAAGTCACCTAGGTTAGCTCCATAGTTTAGCTGTTATGAGGTGATCTGCTGTAAACATAATGTGGCTGTGTCATTGTAATATGCTGATTTTAAGTCCTTTGGGTATAAAATGAGGAAAGGGATAGGTGTGTCAAATGTTCGTTCCATTCCACGTTTTCTGAGGAATCTCCATACTGCTTTCCATAATGTTTGCACCAATTTTCACTCCCACCAGCAATGTGTGCATGCACCATTTTCCTCACATCTTTGCCAACATTTATTGTTATTTGGTAATTGTATTCTTGATAATCATGTTTGTGTCTGGGGTGAGACGAAATCTTGGAGTAGTTTTGATTTGCTTTCCTCTAATGGCTAAATGTTGAACATTATTTCATGTATTTGTTGCTTCTTCTGTGAAGTGTCTGTTCAGTTCCATAGCCCATTTATTGATTTGGTTCTTTGGTTTTTTGAGTTCTGCATATATCCTGGAGATTAGTGCTCTATCTGAGGTGCATGTGGTGAAGATTTTCTCCCATTCTGTAGGCTCTCTTTTCACATTATTGATTGTTTCCTTTGCTGAGAAGATGCTTTTTAGTTTGAATCCATCTGGTTTATTGATTCTTGAATTACATTTTGGAATGTAGGATTCTCATTAAGGCTGTTAGATGTTAGGCTGACATCGTGAAGATTTTGGCTTACTTTTTCTTCTATTAGGCACAGGAGGTATGTTCTAGTGCCCAAGTCTTTGATCCATTTTGAGTTGAATTTTTTTCAGAGTGAGAGGGGTTTACTTTCTTTTTGTTATATGTAGCTTTCCAATTTTCCCTGCATCATTTGTTGAATAGGCTTTCTTTTCTCCAATGTATGTTTTTTCGTGCCTTTGTCTAGTATGAGATAACAGTGTTTTTGTGAGTTTGTCTCTGTGTCTTCTATTCTGTACCATTCATGTGTCTACACATCTGTTTTGGTGCTGATACAATGCTGTTGTTGTTACTGTGGCTCTGTAGTACAGTTTAAGCTATACTATTATGATGTGTCCTACTTCACTCATCTTGCTAAGGATTGCTTTGGCTATTCCGGGTCTCTTACTTTTCCAAATGAATTTCATGACTGCTTTTTCTAGTTCTGTGAAGACTTGTCATTGGGATTTTTTTATATGAATTGCATTAAAGTTCATACCCAAGTACAAATTAGTTAAAACCATGAAAAAGAATCCTGGATCAACATTGACCTGACAGCTATCTGGTTACAGGTATCTGTTGACTCAGGAGCTATACCCTGCACACTCGGTGTTGGCTAAACTGAGGTTACTCTGCATTTTAGCATTAACAGCATCTTAGAGTTGAGTCTACTCTGCATGTTGGTGTTGAGGTCTGAGTACAGTTATGCTTTGCTACCACACAACCAGGGATAATTTGCTGAGTTTTTTAAAACTTTAAATGTGTCTGAAAATTTTGGGGGGTCCTTTAATCACTTTGCTTGATCAAATTTTGTGTTCTAGGCATTATCCTAGGTGTGAAGTACAGAGTAAATAGGCCAAGTCTGAGTCTCCATGGAAGTTAATGAAGTTAGTAAGATGATTATAGCATCTACCTCAGTGTTACTGTGAAGCGTAGAACAGAGTATGTCTGTTCATAACTGCAGTGCTGAGGACTGTAATATTGTTGAGGAAAATCACAGATGACTTCAACAGGCATCACCTTGTTTTCATCTGGGAAGTATTGTAAAGTTGTTACTTTTTCTATAATAAAAACAGACATTTAACACAGTTCGTATCTGAAGTCTGTGAACTTCAGGGATCCCTCTGGGCTGCCTGTCTCCAGGTCAGACACACAGTCCTGTGCTGACTCAATACAGGTTTGGAGACCCTTGAAGCCTCTTTTATAACCATGAGAGCCTGTGCTTCATAGTCAGCAGGCCAAGTAGGGGTCTCCAGGTCAAGTGGATGGCATATCCCTATGGTGCTGACTTCCCCCAATCAGTTCATCTCTTGCTTTCACACACTCACTGGCTGCCATTTAGCTGGATGGGCCCTATTCCATAATGGGAATTTTATATCCTTTGCATTAATTGTCCAGAGCTTTTGGGTAGAGGCCTGGCCTTTCCTAATCCCCAGAACTATCTCTGTGTCCTCTTCACAGGGTCCTGTTATTACTGGCTGTGAGCGTGCTTTGTACAGATGGTGGTGTACTGCAAGCTCGTATTACATTCATTTTGTGTCCTCTTTCTTATAGCACTTAACAAGGTGCTTGGAGTTGGAGTAGGGGTAGGAGAGTTGGCCTGAAAAATGACCCTAAACTTTATGAACATAGTTAGGGAAACCTAGGGGTGGGGGGGGGGGACGATAGTATGGAGAGAGTCCAATTCCTCCTAGGGAAACACATGCACAGTGAAACTTCATTTAAAGTAAAGTGTCATGCTGTACTCCAAAATCAAGCAATTCTGGATGGATTTCAGAGAGTTAAAAAAAATGAGGGGAAAACAGAACTAGAAGATAAAATTGAATAGTTTTTCAGTTTCTGCTAGGGAGCCGGTTATCACTGTCAGACCACGCTGTGCTCTAGCTGGGGATCATGAATATCACATGAAGTGAGAGATGTACAAACACATCCCCAGTTACTTGTGTTGTTGTGACACAGAACATTTCCTTAATCTTTGATGAGGGAAAAAAGACATATTACCTTTAGAATATCACTCCTAATGAATGCTGTGCTAGGGCTGTTCTGCTTCAGACGTTAAAAACCTGGGCTTTGTGCAGAGGCATCCAGATTTTAAGAAAAAGGCTAAGCAGAAGAGAGAGACACACATATCAAATCAGTTGCAGAACAGGACTCCACCGTGACTATAAATGTTGAGCAACTACTTCTGGTTCTGTTTTTTTTTTTTTTTTTAAATATTTATTTTTTACTTGGACACAATAGCTTTGTTTATTCTTATGTGGTGCTGAGGGTCAGACCCAGGGCCTTGAACATGCTAGGCAAGCACTCTACCACTGAGCCACAACCCCAGCACTGGTTCTGTGTTTTTAGTATCTGTTATGCGTCTCCTCCTGGTGCTCTTTAACTGATAAGCTTTTGACATTGGCCTGCATGAGGACACCACAGGTGAGGACTTGCGGACAGTGGATAGCCTGGCTGGGTTTGGGTTGGATGATTGTATAAGACGCCATTGGAGATACGTTAGAACAGTGTCCTTGGGGTAGAGTCAGGAAAAAATTCTTTCTTACTTGACATTTTGATAGAGTGAGGAAGTGTCTATTTTTCCTAATGTAATTAGTTGGATATTCAAGCTAGGTTTCAAACTCTATTCTTTCATGAGTTTGGAGGGTAAAACTAGTACTTACTATCCAGCTCACTGGTTAGTTTATAAAATATCACCACATATCTCTCATTTTAATCAGATTTTAAGTATACACATGTAAGATATTCAATGTCAACATTCAAACAGAGAGTAGAGAATGAAAACCTCCTTCATTCCTCTGCCCATAGCGCATTGTGTTGAATATCTATCTAAGGATATGTGCATTTCCATGTTTTTGAAACAAAAAGGTATATATTAACACACTTTTTCTTTTGGAAAGTCAAAATAAGAGAACTCTTCTCAGTTCTCTGAGGACTTTACACTTATTTTATAAACCTCTGTACAGTTTGGCTGTTTAATCTTTTACAAAGAGTTTGCATGACTTTTGTAATTAAAAAACATGAGACCAAGTAGAAAAAAGAATGGAAGGAAGTAGTCCATCTTTGTTCCTTTCAGGAGAGGACTCAGTCCATTCTCTCATTCCAGAAATGCTTTCTGGTAGGTTCTGGGTTTAGCTCTATGGTGGAGCATTTGCTCAGTGTTTGAAAGGTCCTGGGTTCAGTCCCTGGTGCTGTTGAAATAAACAAAGCAGAACCATAACACACATTGTGGAATGTTATTGGACAGTAGTGTGAGTCTTGGTTCCAGTTATGTTTGATATATTTCAATAAGCTAGAAGAAAATGGTCCACATGTTTTCACCATAAACAAAGAGGAAATGTTTGAGGATGTAGGTGTTCTTTAACCTAATGTGACCATTGCAGATCATTTGCATGTATCAAAATATCACATGGTACCCTGTTAGTATGTATTATTTTTACATTTTATACATCATGTAGCTACACATTTAAAATAGTTTCCCATATTCTCTAAATTCATAAACAACAAATGGACAAATAGCTATATTTATGAACCTAATTAATACATTCTGAGAATGCTAGGCTTTCTCATTTTTATTTCATTTTCTATAGGCTCAGTAATTCTTCTGTATTTTTTAAGGTTTTATTTTTCTCACTTAATATATTTTAGCACATTACTAAATGTGCTAAAATGGTTCCTGTTCAGAAGACAGGAAGGTGATTAGGGTGATTAGGCTGGTGATTTATTTTGTAGTGGAGCAGTGATTGGCAAATAGTAGTTACTGTAAATGTTTGTGTATGTGAGTGAAAAATTATCTACAACTCTAAAAATGTGTACGTGATGAATAAAGATAAGGAATTCTGCCAGGTGACCTGCAATTAAGACTGTGTAAGAAAATTAGCTTGAGGCACAAGATACATATTAACTATAAGGATTCTTAAGAAATATTGTTGGATTAGTCATTTATTCATTCATGCAGATTATGTTGAGTGGCTACAGTATGCTGTTAGGAGCTGGGAAGACCACAGAAAATAAAATATTGCAAAGTTCTGGCTATTAGGGGCCTTACATTATAGTATCCACGGGTTAGGAAGAAGAAATGCGTTATAGAAAAGTAAAAAAAAAAAACAAAAAAACCTGTGGAAGGGGGAAGATGATAATTGTTAGCTAATAGATATGGAGAGAACCTCCCTTCAGGTCTTGGCAGATTGAAGGATGATGTGCCTACACTCTAACCTCAGCAGTAATGCTGAAGTAGGATAAATGCACCTGGTCTGTGGTTATGCTTGACTCATTTAGAAGATGCTATTTGATTTAATGTGTAACTGGGTCTTTTCACAATCTTTCCTTATATAGAAGGAATCCTTTTATACTCTGAGATTAACAGAAACTACATTTTTAAAAATATTTTTTTACTTGTAGATGGAGACAATACTTTTATTTGTTTATTTATTTATTTATTTATTTTTATGTGGTGCTGAGGATCAAACCCAGTGTCTCTTATATGTGAGGCAAGCACTCTGCCACTGAGGCACAGTTGCATCCCCAGAAACTACATTTTAAAACAACAATAAAGCAAGCAAAAATGGGACAGAATGGTAAGATTGTAGATGACAACACTTGCATTCTTTTTTGAATAAGTATCTTAAAACTGGGAGAGCAAAATAACCAGAATGGAAACTGTCACATTGCAAAGTCCTTCTGATACTAAAGTAACACCAAGCTAGATGCTATTATAGAAGAGCAATGTGAACAGGGAATGACATGTGATTGCATAGAGTGAAATCAGGTCTGGGTGGCTGCTAGATTTGGTCTCAGGTGAATTTATATAAATATTAAATAGTTTTTAGTGGGGGAAAGGGAGAGATTCCAACCTTCTCAAAATGTTGTACCCAGTTTCTATCAGAAGAAACTTTGCATTTCCGTATGTCTTATTGTAAGCTAAATTGGCTAAGTTCTTTAGATTTTCATGATCTAAGAGAGAAATTTGCATAAAAATTTTACATTTCTGAAGTTATGTTAATGGAATCAGTGGCAAATAAAATGGATTATAAGTTAAAAGACAACTTCTCAGTGTTTCACTCTCCTGTCACTCTGCAGATGAAGCCTGTTGGTGGACTATACATCCTGCCTTGAAGCAGTGTTCAGAAGGAGAGAATCTATGGGTTGGAGGTGATCTCGTCCTAGTTAGCGAGTCCTTTGAGCAATACTTGGTAAGTGTGCACCGTAGGACCATGGGCTTAGTGTTGTGATAAAGGACAGTACAATGAGATGGTCTCTTTAGGGGTTATACTGCCAATTTTCTGGGAAAGTTGCTGTTGCACAAACCCGTACCTCTATGTGATGAGTTATTAACAATGAGTAGGAAAGGGAAGTGGCCTGAGTGGAAGTGCTTACCAGGTCTTTCAAGCAGCCTTCCTCATGCTCTTGATTGAAGTGTATGTTCATGGTCCTGAGAGCACACCTGTGTCTGGATTCTTCTATGAATAGAATGTAAGCTCAGTATTATCAGGAGTTCCAATCCCTGGTCTTTATTTTATGCTCAATGTAAAGGTTATATTAAAAAGATTGTGATTACCTATTTTTATATTCATGAAAGAAAATTATTACATCAGGAAAGCTTGCCATGTTAAGGAGAAATAGACAAAGTATAGGGGCCAGAAATGGGAAAATGAAGGGAAAAATTTGTTTAATCATTGGAGGATTTTGACTTTTTTTGATAAGGGAATTGTATATTTAATTTATTTAGTAAGTTGTAGTTTTGTTTAACAACAATCCTATGGGTAAATTCACAAAATATTGAAATCCACGGAACTGTAAAGGATTCCAGTGCAAAATATTCTTTTATTTTAAGGTTGAAAAGAAATTAATTATAAAATGGGACATTGTGAGCTTTGCATGAATACCCACATGAAATATCTGAGTTGTCGTGGGTGATTTCAGAAATAGAGCACATTGAAAGCACAACATGGATTCTAGAGAGTGCATTGGCAGTGACATGAATCAAAATGTTGTTTGTGTGTACCTAAGTAGGAATGAGTCGGCATTTATATGCTCTATAAATGTGGAACTAGGGTGGCTTTGAGGTAGCTGTAAGTGTCTTGGGTTACCAGCACCTTCAGTTCCAGTTTTCAAATGTTTCTAGGAAGCATGGCTTTGTTTTCCTGTCTCTATGGAGAAAGGTGACGATGAAGACAGGGAAACTATAACAGTGCTCTGTGTCACTGGCAGGTACTGTTAAGTTAAAAGGAGCATCTGCTGGTGCACAGCTGCTGGAAGGCCTGAGCATTTCTGTGCTCATTTCCCCTAGCTGATGTGCATGGAAACAGTCACCATGCCAAATTCTGGAAGACTGCAGGTGTGCAGCTTGTAAAATAAGAATCTTTCAAGTCCTTGTTATGTGCATGTGTGTGCTGCAAGGTGATGCATTTATTTGCTCAGGAGATGTACAGTTGAGCTGGAGCTGTCTTTGGAAACCAGTTGAAATGGAACTAATTCATGGAAATTTCCATATACAAATTCTACATGTATCATATTTTGGCTTTGATTATGAGTCTTCATTTGTTGTTGTACATCTTGTATTTTTCACTATATAACAGAGTTTATTTGACAGGGTATTATTCACCAAATGAATGGAAAATCAGAAGCCAAGGCTTCTAATGTCAATTCTGCAGCTAACTAACTACCTGAGCAAGTCATGTCACTCCTTGAACTCCAGCTTCCTTGCTTGTAAAGTGAGGTCATTGGTAATAACAGAATGTAGAGCCAAGATATTGAGAAGAGGCAGTGACATAATGATTTTTTATAAAAATTTAAATACATACAGGCAAACAAAATAACAAACAGAGAAGTAGCAAGATGCACAATCCATGGTTCACCATCAACAATTCTCTCATTTTGTTTCTATGACACTTTCATCTTTCTGCCCCTTCATAGTAGCTTCTGGTTGTTCTTTATTTGCATTTAGTAGGGGCAAACTTTCTGTACATTTCAACATCAAAGCTTAGCTGTAGAGTTTTGACAGATGGTTGCACTGGGGCTTCCCAGACACATACCTCCGTGTGAGACATTTCCATTTTCCTTAAGTTTCCCCAAGAAAGTTGCCAAACGTTCCCTCCCAAATTTGCCCCTGCCTCTTTGACCAGAGACATTTTTTCACTCCCGATTCATAGAAGTCACAAGTTTTGCATCCTTAGGAAAACATGTTATTTTTATATATACATAGTCTCTTGCTAATCTGATTTTACTTAGCTTTTTAAAAGTTAGCAATAATTGCTGAATTGTTTTCAATTACAGGAGATAAAAATCATGTTTTATGGTCCTTGTTTCATTGATAAATAAGTTACCCATATACCCAACTGTTGAAAAATCCCTACATTCATAGAATAAGCTGTAGTTGACCATAACGTGTTGTTATTTGAAATCCTACTAGATATGTATGTATTTATTTTATTCAGAATTATTGACTATATTCATAATGAAAATTAAATGTTTTATTCATGGGTAATTATATTTGCATTTCATACCATTTTCATATGTTATGAAATGTCATTTTTCTTTGATTACCTTGTTGGAAGTGTCCCTGCAGGAGAGCAAACTCTCAGGCTCATTGAACTGTGCACTTCAGATTTATGCATTTACTTCTCCTAATGTTACCATTTCATAGAAAGTTTAAAACATAGAGCCTAATAGAAGAGCTAACAAAAATATTCAGTTTTGAACTTCAAGGCTTCAGAAGCATTGCTCGGTGCTTGGTGATTGGTCAGCCTCTTGGGATCTGCTGTGAAGCCTGTGATGCTGTAGGAGTGGGAGGCAAAGTGCAATCTCCCCTTTGAAGCTTGTTCACAGTTTTCTGAGGCCAGAGATCATTTGTTGAATGTAGATATGTGGAAATTCCCTGCTGTTTGTTTTATTCAAGTCAATATTTATTGAATCATTTTGTAAAATAATAACTGAATGAATATATTGAAAGCTAGTTTGTACAGGGTGCTGTGTGTGTTATTTAATCTGAACACAATGGTATTGGGATGCCTCCACCTACCTTTTGATTCTGTTTCTGTTCCTGTTCCGTGATTTCAGAGCACATCATATTGACACTGGCTTGGGAAGGGGATTCCCAGAATGAAGGCATCACTTCTGCATTCTTACAGGCTATTATGCACCAGGAAGGCCACCTAGATGATGGCTTAAACTTTTCTAGATCTCAGCATGAAGAAACATGCACAGACCAAGTCATCTGGAGCAATGTCTCACTTTTCAGTAGATTTATAAGGTACTTTTGCTTTTGTTGTCCTGGTACTTTGATATTTCATTTTCATTTTCTTTCTGTGTTTACAAGTAATAAATTTCAAAGTGTAAAAATACATTGAGGGAGTTCAACAGAAGACAATACAAAATGCTACTTAGATAATAGTGTTTTTCTTTTAAGTGAAGGATAAAGGAATGTGCTTTTAGAAGTTGGGCATGTAATTTTTAATTGAGAGCTACAGGTTGGGATTACTCTGCAACTTGTTTTTGTGTAAGACTGACTTAATTCCCTTTTACAGAGAGAATAATGAAGACTTATACGCTTTTGAACTACATTAAAAAATAGTGGTCCATGTAATAACTGATTTTTCCACCTGAAGATTGAAACAGTTGCATATCTACATACGAAATCAAACATGTGGCCAAAGTGTTTTCTGATACCAGTATATTAGTACACCATGTCATCTGTACAGGATGGATATCATCTATCTCTTGAAATTTGCAAATTTCATGAGAGGAAAATATTTTTGAAATATGCACTTTTTAAAAGTTTTCTTTTACTACTTTATTTTATTTATGTATTTTTATATGATGCTGAGGATCCAACCTAGGGCCTCACATGTGTGAGGCAAGTGCTCTACCACTGAGCCACAATCCCAGCCTGAAATATGCACTCTTTATATATACAGATAATTCAGTATGATGAAGATGTTAAAAAAGGTATACATTTTAACAAGTTTGCACATATATCTTGTTTCTATAATTTGCTTTTGGATATTTGGGGAATGGATATTTATGTTTATATTTTTAAATTTTGTTGATGTATTCTACTTGCTAATGTTTCTACAAGTCTATTATGAGGTTTTTGTTAATTTCTTGTCATATATAAATTACAAATGTTTCCTACAATGTATTAGTTGGAAAAAATTTTAAAGTATTTTCTCAAAATAGCTAAATTAATAAATTATTTTTGCTTTCAAATGTAAGAAAGATCTTTCCTATCCAATATTATATTACTATCCACTTAATCATTATCTGCTTTTATAAACCATCCCACTCATGATGTGTGTGTGGGTGTTTGCGTGTGTGTGTGTATGTGTGTGTTGGGAGGACATTTATATGGCTGAAGAATGTGCATAGCATGCAGCTTCATAGTATCAGTAGTGCTTTTTCCATTTCTGTGCCTAATTTAAACCTTAAACTTCATCAGATGGAATAAAGCTTAGAGACTTAGAGATGGGGTACGTGTCATTTTTATATTGTATTTATCATTTGTATTACTTATTAATTCCATTGCTTTATACAGCACTTCTTGTAATAAATAGAAAAATTTATAGAAATTATGAAAGTGGAGAATAGAAATGCTATTGACAAAATTAGTATGGGATTTCATTCAAAAACTTTATAATAGTTGCAGTTTTATTTTTATTGACTTATGAAGGGGAAGTACCATATTTCAAAATGTAATTTGTAATTGAGATCTATAGTTATCTTCATGTAAATGATGATACATTTTAAATATTTTGAGCATTATAATGTCCAAAACTAAGTTAATTATTAATAAGCCTTTTATTGTTTCTAAAATATAAGTTTTGATGTAGTCAGAAAAATTTAGTCAAAAATATTTCTTTTCACTAAAATATTTTCATACAATTTTGTTGATGTAGAGAGCAAGAATTTGAATTATTTTTGAGCATTGAATTTTGTCATGACTAATGAGTATTACTGTATCAATTAGAATAGTGCTATTCTCCTATTTCTTTATGGTATCTGTTTTGTGTGTGTGTGTCTGTTTGTATGTTTTAACAGACTTTTTACCTTGGAATAATTTTATTTAAAAGTATCACATTTTACCGTGCTCTCCAGACATATTCTAAGCTGTGAGCTTTAAAACCAAGAATCTCAGTAAACTCAACAAATTATCATATTCTTATTCACTAGCGTTTTGCTCCAAAGGCGAGAAAATACACCTTAGTCATCTTTCTTAATCTAAGTTTTAGATTTGAAAGTATTTAAAAGCATTTCTTTTGGATAACAGAAAAATACCTTAATCTGTTACATTTTTGGATTAACATCAATAGAATATATTTTTCAACTGCTAGGAATTAAACAATGTAGCAGCTGGTATCAGTGATCAAAGTAGAAACAACAAGAAAATGTCAGAATTATGAATCCTGGAAGATGTGGCTTCACGCCTTAAAGGATGTAGTGCTTTAAAATGAAGTCTTAATATTGGTTGATTTCTAAATATTTAGACCATTAGTTTTGTCATCATTGGTCCTATGCCTCTAGGCGAGGAGCTCCAGGTGGGGCTTTTATAATATGACGTGGCACCTCTGTGTGGCAATAGAGTTGCCAATGGATGAGTTCATCCTTGCTGTTGGAGGACAGGAGGGCCTTCCTTCCACATGCCTTTCACAGTAGTAGAGGGAGCAAATAACTCTGTGAAGTTATCTGTAAATCAAAAGACAGTGACATAAAATTGTGGGTCAGTGACAGCAGAGGTTTGCTGTGATTTCAGGAGCCTGGATGCTCTCAGCAAGAAAGCGAAGACTCCTGAAACCAACCTGCCCATATAGTTGGTGAGCCTGAGTCTGCAGGATATCAACTGTTACTTCCACCCTCCTAATGAGCACTTGGAGCATGAGGACAAACTGAACAGGTTGCATGCCCTGAAGAATTGGCAGAACCTCTTCTGGGGAGAGGTGAGTCTGCCCATTTCTTCTTTGTTTTCTTGGGACAACAACTACTTGGCGGGGTGGTGGGGGGAGATTCTCCTTTAATCTCCATCTTTACACTTTGAGGTAGAAGGCAGCAGGTGTGCTACTGCACAGGAAAACAGGCCTAGGAGGTACATGGTCATTACTTTTATTTCTCTGTCAATGACTGTTAATTTTAACAGGATGAAATTTGCCATCACAAGGTATTGTGTTACCTTGTTTATTCATATTTCATGTATTCCTGGGATAGATTTTATATATCTTTTGGGATTGATTTCTCTTCTTGTGTTATGTGTGGGTCTTTTTTAGGGCATGACCTTCTCTTGCTAAAGTGTCTTCTGTCTGATTTTCTGTAGAAGTGAATGCCCATAAGTGGAAACTGAGTTCTGTCAGCTGTTTCTAATTGGGACCTGATTATTTCTTCTAGGATTTTGAATTTTCTATTATTTTTAACAAAGTTTGTGTACAGTTAATTTGGGTGTAGGTCAAGGTGAGCTGTCTCTTGTCTGGGTTTATTTCAGTGGCAGAGTTTATTCCCTGTGAACTTGTACTTGGTCTGTAGATTCCTAGCACTTGCACAGAAAAGGCAGGGAGAAAAAAAGCAACAAGTGAAGCAAAGAACATACAGCATTGAAATAAATACCCAATGCCTACTCCTATATCAATAGTGATAATTACTCAGAAACAGTAATGGTGAGGTCACCAATTGCCAGCAGCAAAGACACTAAATAGCTGTGGACAAGAACTGGCATTATAGTAAGCAGCAGGAGTCAACTGTGCCATCCACATAATTAATAAGTGCAACGGCATGAATGGTTGGGGGCAGCAGTTACACGGAACAAATAGTTCTAAAAGATTATAAAAGTATAGTTCATTAAGAGAAAAGAAAATGTGATAGGAAGGTAAAAAAAAAACTTTAGATGTTCAAAATGTGAGTGAGAGAACACAGATGTAGCAAGTGAAGGTTATCAGTATGCAGGAGAATAAATAGCAAATACAAAAAAAGATGGGGGAAGAAAGAACAAGGGAATTTAGCTGTTATTGGGAGAAGGAGGAAGAGAGAGAAAAACAAGAAACAAGTAAACAAAAACAAAACAAAAATAAAATATCATAACCCTCAAACAAAGCAAGGAAAAATAACTATTAAAAATGTTAGAGATTTGGGGCTGGGGTTGTGGCTGTAGAGGGCTCGCCTAGTTCTCTTGAGGCCCTGGGTTCCATTGTCAGCACCACATAAAAGTCAATAAACAAAACAAAGTTGCTAAAAAATAATTTTCAAAAAAAATATGCTAAAGATTTACCCTACGTACATGTATGAAGACACGAATGATGTGACTCTACTTTGTGTACAACCAGAGATATGAAAAATTGTGTTCTAAATGTGTAATATGAATTGTAAAGCATTCTGTCATATAACAAATAAAAATAAAAAAGGAAAATGCTAAAGATGAGAAAAAAGAAGTATGTATGTGTAAGTATATATACTATGAACCAATCAGTATAGCAGGAACACCAAGAAAAAAAGAAGGAAAAATATTCAAGGTAGTTAAAATTGTGCAGGAAATATGGATTATCAATGCCTGTTCCCAAGGGTTTTCTTTCCATTTCTTGGACTTTTAACCACCTTTGAATGGCCCCTTGTTTTTGTGTTGGCCAAGGAGCTTCTAGTTGGAGTGGCCTTCCACTGAAGCTGGTTCTGATGACTCTCTTCTTTCCATATAATTAGTGTGATGTAGAGATAGTGGGAAGAACTGTTCTTTGGCATTTTGTACACACAGACCGACCATCTCCATGTACTGCCAGGGTGGGGCTGTGGCAGATTTCGATGAGGGGTGTTCCATGTGTGGTGCTTACTACTAAACAGGCCTCAGGGGCTTTGCTGGGTGGTGTCTGCTCTGGGGGAGATTAGATCAGCACACCCCTAGGGCCTGGCAGTTGCTGCTCTCTGCTGGGAGTTTGGATATCAGGAGCCTCCCAAGCATTCCACATATGGGGTGAGGGAGCCAGTCCTCTACCCCCTCTGCTGCCCACCAACGCAGCATTCCCAGGCTTAGTCCCAGAGAGTGTTCACACCTGCTTCCACTGGTCATGAAGTTGGACAGTTGAGGCTAGATAGTGAGGAATTAGCAGGAAGCAGGTTTATTGCCTGCTGCTAACTCCATAGTGGGGGCTTTCATCTAAATTCATTTGTCCATCTGAAGCCCAAGTCCAGAATTCTTTAGAACTTTATACCCAGTGTGTAGGGAGAGGGAAGCTCAGAGGCTCCCAGTTTGAAGTAGTCTATATAATAAAGTATTTTTTCTTCTTTTACTGGAATGGGTAACTAACCCAACCCTGAATACCAAAGACACTGAAAAAGTAGTGCTTGGGAAAGGGAGGGTTCTGCTCCCATTTCCCCCACCAGCTGGTTTTCAGGGAACCTAGTTAGCACCATTCACTCTCATATTTTTCTATTGTAAAGGATTTTCCCTAGGATCTAACTACTCTCCTTTGAAGTGTAAACATCCCTGTGAAGGCTCCCAGCCCAAACCTAGAGGCATTTATTGCACTCTGCTTTCTTTTTTCTTTCTTTATTTTATTTTATTTATTCTAATTTGTTATATAGGACAGCAGAATGCAACTCAATTCATATTACACAAATAGAGCCAAAATTTTCATGTCTCTGGTTGTGCACAAAGTAGAATGGCACCACTCATGTTTTCATACATGTAATTAGGGTAATGATGTCCATCTCATTCCACCATCTTCCTACTCCTATGCCCTCTCCATTCACCTCCCTCCCCTTTGCCCTATCTAAAGTTTATCTATTCCTCCCATGCTGCGCACCCCATCCCCATTATGAAACAGCATCCTTATATCAGAGAGCATTCTGCATTTAGTTTTTTGGGGATTGACTTACTTCACCTACCATTATATTCTCCAACTCCATCCATTTACCTGCAAATGCCATAATTTTCTTCTCTTTTAATGCTGAGTAATATTTCATTGTGTATATTTACCACATTTTCTTTATTCATTCATCTACTGAAGGATATCTATATTGGTCTCACAATTTAGCTACTGTGAATTGTGCTGCTATAAACATTGATGTGGCTGTGTCCCTGTAGTATGCTGACTTTAAGTCCTTTGGGTATTGACTGAGGAGTGAGATAGCTGGGTCAAATGGTGGTTCTATCCCCAGTTTTCCAAGGAATCTCAATATTGCTTTCACTTTTGGATGCATCAATTTGCAATTCCACCAGCAATGTATGATTGCCTTTTTCCCCACATACTTGCCAACACTTATTGTTGTTTGTATTTTTTTAATTGTAGATAGATCCAGTATCTTTATGTATTTATTTTTATGTGGTGCTGAGGATCAAACCCAGTGCCTCACGTATGCAAGGCAGGTGGTCTACCACTGAGCTACAGCCATGGCCCTGTTGTTTGTATACTTAATAGCTGCTATTCTGACTATAGTTAGATGAAATTTAATAGCTGCTATTCTGACTGTAGTTAGATGAAATTTTAGAGCGGTTTTGATTTGCATTTTTCTAATTACTAGAGATTTTGAACATTTTTCATATTTGTTCATTGATTGTATTTCATCTTCTGAGAAGTGTCTGTTCAGTTCCTTGGCCCATTTATTGATTGGTTCATTTGGGTTTTGGGGGTGTTAAGATTTTTTACTTCTTTATATATCCTAGAGATTAGTATTCTATCTGATGTGCATGTAGTAAAAATTTTCTCCCATTCTGTAGGCTCTCTATTCACCTCACTGATTGTTTCTTTTTCAGAGAAGCAGCTTTTTAGTTTGAATCTATCCCATTTATATTGATTCTTGATTTTAATTCTTGTGCTATAGGAGTCTGATTAAGGAAGATGGGGTCTAATCCAATATGATGGAGATTTGGGCCTACTGTTTCTTCTATTAGGTGTAGGGCCTCTGGTTTAATTCCTAGGCCTTTGATCCACTTTGAGTTGAATTTTATGCATGGTGAGAGATAGGGGAATAATTTGTTGCATATGGATTTCCAGTTTTCCCAGCACCATTTGTTGAAGAGGCTATCTTTTCTCCAAAATATGTTTTTGATGCCTTTGTCTAATATATGTTTATGGGGGTTTGTCTCTCTTTCTCTGTTCTGTACCATTGGTTTACAAGTCTATGTTGATGCCAATATCATGCTGTTTTTTGTTAATATTGCTCTGTGGTATAGTTTAAGGTCTGATATAGTGATGATACCTACTTCACTTTTTTACTAAGGATTTCTTTCGCAATTTTTGGTCTCTTATTTTTCAAATGAATTTCATGACTATTTTTTTCTATTTCTATGAGAAATATCATTGGTATTTTGATTGGAATTGCATTAAATCTATATAGTGCTTTTAGTAGTACAGTAATTTTGACAATTTTAATTCTGAATATCCAAGAACAAGGGAGATCTTTCCATCTTCTTAGATGTTCTTTATTTTCTTTCTTTAGTGTTCTATAATTTTCACTTTAGAGGTCTTTTACTTCTTTTGTCAAGTTGATTTCTAAGTATTTTATCTTTTTTGAGGCTATTGTAAATGGGGTAATTTTCCTTGTTTCTCTTTCAGAGGATTTGTCACTGATATATAGAAATGCCTTTGATTAATGGGTATTGATTTTATATTCTTGCATAGATGCAAAATTTATCAATAAAATACTGGCAAATTAAATACAGAATCATATCAAAAAGATAGCTACCTATGCTAAGCCCTAGGCCAACATCATTCTAAATGGAGAAAAATTGAAAGCATTCCCTGTAAAAACTAGAATAAGATAGGGATGCTCTCTTTTACCAGTTCTATTTAACATAGTTCTTGAAATACTAGTCAGAACAATTAGAGGAAATAAAGGGATATGGATAGGAAAAGAAGAACTAAAATTAGCATGATTTGCACTCTGCATTTGTAAACACACTTCCTATCTGAAAACTCTTACATACAATCATATATCATTTTGGACTCGAAAATTTATGACA